CGGGGGGGGGGGGGCACCTGTCCCGAGTTGCGGAGGACGACGTGCTCGATGCGGTGGGTGAAGATGTAGCCAGCATCGTTGAGCTCGTACACCGACACGCCGTCGAGGTGCAGCAGCACCGACGGCACGCCCCCCATCCCCGGGATCAGGTCGAGCGCCGGGTCCCGCATCCACAGCTTCGCCGACCAGCGCATGCGGATGGTCCGGTCCGACACAACCAGCCGGTGCGTGAGCTCCGCGTGGCGCATCCCCGCCCGCCGCAGGAAGCGCAGCATCCCAAAGACCCGCTCGTACTGCGCGATGCCGCGCAGCCGGTTGCCCGACGCGTCGTGCTGCAGCGTGACGCCCTCGGTGAAGATGGAGAGGTCCGGGGGATGCGTGAAGAGGCGCGGGTGGTCGACGCGCAGCGTGTCGATGGCCCGCCCCAGGTTCAGCTGGTACTCGGACGGGCCGTTCGGCCCGAGCGGCGCCGGCGCGCCGTTCGGGAACAGCGGGCTGCTGCCCGCGTCGGATTCAAAGAGGGGGCCGCCCGCACCGGACGCAAAGAGCGGGGCGCCGCCCGTCGCATCGGGCGCGGCGCCGCCCGAGGGCGAGAAGTGGGCGCGCGCGGCGGCCGGCTTGGCGGAGGCGACGCGCGCGGCGCCCGAGAACGCCGCCGCGCACGCCGCCGCGCAGTACGCGAGCAGCAACGGCAGATGCATCTTCTTGGGGCCGGACCAGTCGAGAGTCTTCTCGCCGCCTTACTAAAAGAGAAAAAATGCCTACCGTCCAAGTGCCGCTGTCGCCCGACATTGGACGCCATCCCTCGCCAGGTTTGTACGTGTATGTATGTGTGTGTATATGCCCGCTCGCGTTCCTGCGTGGGGTGATGAGCGCCTCGCACCGGCGCCCGTCGAGGACTCGGATGAGGAGGCGCCGCTAGGGCACGCGTTCAGCGTTGCCTACTGCCGCGCCACGAGCATCGCGCCGGCCGTCGCCGAGGCAGGCGGCGTCGAGCCGAGCCGCAGGCTCACCGTCGCGATAGCCGCGCACATCGAGCGGCGCCGCCGCACGCGCGGCCTCACGGACGTCGACGCTCTCCAGCAGGACGTGCTGCGCGAGCTCGAGAGGCTCCGCTTTGCAGTTCCATCCTCGAGCGCGCGCTGGCGAGTCCTCCGGCTGGCAGAGTGCGGCTTCAGCCACAAGGAGGTGGTCTTGTCCGAGATCCGAGGGCGGCTGTCTCCCGCGTGCAAGAGCGCGATCAAGGGCGACTCCCTCGACAAGTGTATCGCCAAGTCCTTTGTTGCCTCCAAGAGGAAGCAGCACCCCGCCCATGCGGCTCTGATCTTGGTGGAGGCGCGAGCGGACGAGCTCGCAAAGGGCCAGTGAGGGGGAAAGGGCTTGGAATGGATACACAGCTTACGGCGCTCGGGAGGAGGGCCGGCCAATGGTCCCGATGCATGACAAGGCACAAGGGCGGATATTTCTCGCTGGAAGGCGACCTGGTGAGTTGGCAGAACGGCTGAGCCAGAGGTTGGGGATCTCGCTCTCAGGGGAAGGCGGCCAGCATGCGAGACGCTACGTACTGGCTACTCTCACTCCATTTCGGTCATTTCGGCGCTCTCGGACTCCCGCCGGGTTGCGGGGAGGGGTGCACCAAGCCGTGGCGAGATGCGCAGATGATGCGCCCCCGCAATTTTGCCCTGGCACGTCCATCGTCGTGTCGGCGGCGTCATGGTCCCGGGGGCCGCCCTGCCTTTTCCCCCGTTTCGCCGGGGCGGCACTTGGGGCGGCACACACACACGGCCACGCTGTGTGGCGCGCACCCGTGACAAGGGTCGGGCGCGCTCTCCGTCTCCCCTCTGTGCTCTGAGCCGCGCCCTCTCCTCCCGCGCCGGCGCGCGCGTCTCGCCCGCTCGCCGTCGGCGCGAATGTGCAAAAAAGTGATTCACAAATTCACACACAAAAAAGACGAAAGCCCCCGCGCGCAGCGCGCAGCGAGACGTCTCACGCGTCACCCCGCCGGGGGCGCGCCGCCCCACAGGACCCCAGACTTCGACAGTGGACAGACCCCGACCTGCCTCAATCGCGCGCGCGCGCCCCGCCCTCCGAGGCTTCATGTGAGTGTGTCGTTGTGTGCGCCGTGCGCGCCGAGAGCGACACAGAGACGAGAGAGAGAGCGTGCTCCACTCTCGTGGCTCACACGAACAGGATCGGCCCTCCGGCCGCCTCTCGCTCCTCCCCTCCCGCCTCCCTCGGAGGGCTCTCCCCCGCCAGCCTCTCCCCCGCCAGCCTCTCCGCCTCCAGCCTCTCCGCCTCGTGCTCGGCGATCGCTTGCTGTACGGCGGCCTCCTGCTCCACCCTCTGCGCGGCGATCACACGGTCGAGGACCGCCTCCGCCCTCGTCACCGCCGCCTGCTCCGCCGCGCGCACCATCTGCCGCGCCGCCGCCTCGGCCGCCTCGGCCGCCTCGGCCGCCCCCGCCTCCCGCGCCAGCGCCACCGCCTTGGAAAGCTCCGCTGCGTGCGCCGCCTGCGCCGCGACGGCCGCGTCCTCGGCGGCGAGGTCCGCCTTGCGCTGCGCGCGGCGGAGCGCCTCCTGGTGCGCCGCCTCCGCCTCCGCCGCCGCCTCCGCCGCCTCGCTCCTCCACTGCTGCTCCCTCCCGCGCACCTCCTCTGCGTGCGCCGCCTTGGCCGCCGACAACGCGGCGCGGTGCTCGCGCTTCGCCCGTGCGAGCGCGTCGGCGACGGCGACGGCGACCTCCGCCGCCGCCCCCGCCCGCTGCGCCTCGCTCACAGACTCCGCCTCCCTCAGCCGCCTCGTGGCGAGCGCCTCGCGCTGCCTCCGCGCGCCGCGCTCTGCCGCGCGCCGCCGCTCCGCCTCCACCTCGAGCTGCGCCGCCGCCGCCGCCTCCGCCGCGGCGCACCGCTCGCGCGCGCCGCGGAGCACCTCGGCCACCGCCGCGTCCTTGGCGCGGCTCGCCCCGCCGCAGCGCCGCCTCCTTCTCCTGCGCCGCCGCTTCGAGCGCCGCCGCATGCTCTCGTCGGAGCGCGACGAGCCGCTCTCGCCACTCGCGCTCCGTCGCGCGCACCGCGGCCTTGAGGGCGCACTCGTGCTCGCGCTCGGCCATCGCGGTCGCCTCGCGCCGTCCGCGAGCCTCGGCCTCGGCCACCGCCTCGGCCACAGCCTCGGCCACTGCCCTCCGCTGCTGTGACTTTTGCCGCTCGAGCGCCGCCCCACGCACCGCTTGGAAGAGAGCCACCCGGTCAACGGATGCGTGCGGCTCCGCGTCGGCAAGCCGCTGAGGGGTCCCATCGGCGGCGACGGCGCAATTCGGCGAGATGCCGGCGGAGGGCGCAGCGGGGCTCGGGCGAAGCAGGCGGCAAGGGGCGGGCGAGGGCGAGGGCGAGGGCGGCCGACAACGCGCAGAGGAGCGAGGTAACGCCGCCGTGGTCCGGGGCGTCGACGACGACTTGGGAGGCTTGGGCTTGGGCTTGGTGGCGGTGCGATTGGCGCCGTTAGTCGACAGCACCGCGCGATTGGTGCTGCCGTTAGTCGCCATTCGAGTGAGGAGTGGAAGAATTCGGTCGACGTGATGCTGGCAAGGCCGCGGCGGGGCCCTGAGGGGTGACGTCGAATGAGGATGTACGTCGTGTGCGTGTCTGGTGTTTCTTAGCTCCGAGTAGAGGGGGCGCTCCGCCGCTAGGGGAAACCCAAAGCGCAGACTAACCCTCGGAGGCCCGTGTTTACTTTACGGCCCTTTCCCTGGGGCCTGACCCCTGCGTCCTCCCCCGAGACCTAGCGCGGGTGGGTTGGAGGAGTGTGGTTGGTGCATCCTTGGGGGGGTGGCGTCTGCGCCTCTTCCTATCTCTCTTTGCAGTCTTCCCTCGCCAATTCTCGCAGCGACCTTCATGTCACTTCGCCCTTCGCGGTCTTGTGCCACTCTTCTCTCTTCACTCTTGTCGTTCTCTCTCCTGCCGCTTCATAAATAAATAAACAAAGAGCTGGACAAATGCCAAATCCAAATCGCAAATTAGATAGAAACCCCAAAAGCAAAACACAGGCGGCGACGTGGCATACGAACTCGTAGGTAAGGAGGCGGGCACAACTTCCAAGGTGCAAGGACGCACGCGAGCGAGAACAGAACCGCAGCCGACCAGCAGACAGAGCCATGACACGATGATGATTAAACGCGTGAACGCCAACTCGCCGGCACAGGCCCCGTGAAGAGCCGCGCACGCGGGCCGACGATTAACGCAGCTGCGTGCCAAGCAGGCCGCTCTTGTGGCCGCAGGCCGAGCTCGCGGCTTCCCAGGCGGCTTCGAGTGACGCCGAGCGAGGCGAGTGCGGTGAGGCCGCCCGTTGTCCGTTGACGAAGCCAAGCGGTGGGCAGCAAGCAATAAAACGGTCAAACTACAAACATCAATCAAACTCTGAGACGAGGATGGGACACTTGAGAGGCAACCCCCACTTTGGGACCTATTTGAGGCGGTGTGGCGGCACTCACAGGACACGGGAAGCTCTCCCGCCGCGTCTGCGTGGCCCGCCCGAGCCGCGGGGAAATAAATAGAGCAGGCATCTCCAGGAGAGATAGATAACTTACTTACTTAGAGTTTTGTAGATTTTGTTTGTCAGACAGATGGGCGACGCAGCACGCACGTTTCAAGAAAATTTGTTAAGCACGAACGAACACAGTCACAGAGGCACAGCGCGCACCCCGCCCCACTCGCAGGGCGTGCATCACACAGGTGGACTGTGTGACTCCTCTCGGGGTTTCTGGGGACTCTTGAGGTGTGCTAGTCGCTATAGTCGGACGGTTCCTGCCGCTTCATCCTCTCACCACTTGGAGCACTTGGAGTGCAGTCGGCAACCGCACACCCAGGGCCGGGGAGCTGAGAAGCGCACCCAGCGGGCCGGATGATTGGCATCGGGTTGCGGGCACCACGGCCGCGCATAATCTTTTTTGGCTGCCGCCGCAAGGACGACAGCAATATCGGGGCGGGCGATGTCTTCAGACGAGCCGCCGAGTTATGGCGGCTGGCTGTCCGCGCGGCGCGGCTCGGCGAGAAAGCAGGCGGGCGCGGCGGGCAGGTCGTCCGAGGCCGACCGCTCCTCAGTCGGCCGCAAAAGCGCCGCAACAGAGGACACGGGCTCTGCGCTCTCGGAAGACAGCGCGTCCAGCGTGCCCCAGTCGCCGCGCGCCGGCAAGCAGCTGACCTTGGGCCTTGCCAAAATGGGCAACTACGTCGCCTCGGGCGGCCGCAAGCTGACCAAAAAGTCGTCGCCGCGCAAAAAGTCTAGTAGGCGCGGCGACGCCCTGTGTCTCTGCGCGCTGCGAGACACCCCCTCCCCGCAGCTCCGCCCAGTGCCGCGTCGGCGGCCGCAAATCGCCAGCCGCCCGGCTCCTTGCCCTGCGGGCGCGTTCCGTGACCGCGCCGCGATGCCGCCCGTCGCAGGCAGACGAACGCTGCGCGCGCGTCGGGCGATCTTGACGCCAAAGGATCGGGGCGAAACAGCCTCGGCGGCAGCAGCGGCGGCTACTCGCTCGGCATAAAGTCCATCAAGGGCATGACGAGCAAGATCGCCAACAGCATCGGGTCCGCGCGCGGACAGCAGCAGGGTCCAGTCAATGCGGACACTCCGCGCTATGAGAGCGGCGGAGGGGGAGGGGCGCTGCCGCAGCCAGGGACGCCCCGATACGGCGCCCACGAGGAGCCCGAGGCGGCGACCGGGCCGGGCACGCCGCGGTACGGCGAGGGGGGGGAGGGGCCGCCGTCGCCCACCAGCGCAGCGGCGGAGAAGCTCGCCGACATCAGCATCGACGTGGGCGGCGACTCGGCCGCCATTGCAGAGCTGGCGGCCGAGGCGGCGCGCTTAGCGGCCGAGACGGGGCTCTCGCTCGAGGCGTCGCTGGCGGTGGAGACGGCCAAGTGGAGGCTGCGCGCGGCGGTGGGCGGCGAGGGCCGCCAGCCGCGCTGCGCCCTCGCCGAGCTGCACGACGCCATCTGCTCCGCGCGCTCCGCGGACGCAGGCCACAAGTCAAAGTGGCCGCAGCATATGGCCCGCGCAGAGAAGGCAGCGGCGCCCGCGGTGTCGCGCGTGCTCGAGGCCAAGGGGGTGGTGATCGACCCCAACATGTGTCAGCTCGAGCAGCACATGCAGCGCATGCGCGAGGAGCAGATCGGCAACGCCGTCGGCTCGATGGCGTCGGGCGCGCTCCGCTCGGTGACGCGCGCAAAGGCGCTGGCGATCCACCGGTGCCTGATGGCGGCGCTCGACGATGTGGAGCAGCAGTTCGTGGGGGGGATGGAGCAGTTCTCCCGCTCTGGGCTGCCCGAGCACTTCCGCAAGCAGGCGGTGACGCGCGAGTTGTGCGCGACCGCCGTGCACGCGCACCGGCTCGAGATGGAGGCGGAGTACGCGCTGCTCGATATCGAGCAGGTGCTGCGCGAGCGCATGGTGCGCGAGCTGCCCGACCTCAAGACGCTCGACCTGGACAGCGGCAAGCCGCCGAGCATGGAGCAGGCGCCCCTCTCTTTCCTCACCGCTGTCGTCATGGGCTCGGCTGGGCTCGGCGTGCCGGCCCCTATCGCAGACTGGCTCGGTGTGCAGGTGCAACCTCGACCCGCCTCTTGACCCCCTCCCGAGAGACACGTCCCAGCTCACGCGTCCTGGACACGTCCTCCTCCCGCGCGCACCTCGGCCCCTCCCAGCCACTTCCCAGGCCATCCCCAGACACACGTCCTCCTCCCTTGCGCGCACCACCTCGGCCCCTCCGAGTCGCTTCCCAGACCTTTTCCAGACCCGTCCCCCTCCCGCTGCTGCAGGTCGGCCGGTACCTCGACCCGTTCATCGACGGCGACGTCGAGCCGCAGCTCTACGAGAAGCGGTCGGCGGGCCTCTTCATGACGCGGCTCGAGCGGGCGTGGAAGGACCCGGCCGTCTCCACGCAGGAGCTCGAGATGCGCGCAAAGTGCGGCGCCTCCAACAAGCTGCCCGTCTCGCCGGCGGTCGCCCTGACGGCGTACGTGCGCCACTGCATCACCAAGATGAACACGTGCATGGGATTCTCGGCGCACATCCCGGGGATGGGGCGGCAGCCGCTCGGCGCGGGCGAGCAGGAGCGGCACGTGAAGCAGCTCGGCGCTGCGCTCGTCGCCGCCATCGGACGCGACTTTGCTGCGCCGCACCGCTCGATTGCCAGCCTGCCGATCACCGCAAACCTGGTGACGGAGCTCGCGCAGGCGCACCTGCGCGCGTGCGTGCTGTACCAGAACGAGCTGTCGAACGCGCTCGCGCGCGCAAACATGGAGGGCGAGGAGGCGCGGAGGCAGGAGCGGATGCGCATCTGGGGGTACAGCTCATGAGCATGAGGGGCCTCTCGGCGGCCTCTCTGCGCGCCTCTCCCCCCGCTCGACCGGTCACGTCCGTCGTGTGGAGGTGCGTTGTGCTGGCTGCTGCAGCCGGTGGCTAGGAATAGGGTCCCCGGAGGCGCCGGGGACTGGGTCGGGGCGATCCGGTGCTGGATGGAATGACGCTGGTGTGCGAGGTCAGGGTGGCGCCGCGTTTGTTGACTGCGGGTGTCGCCCGTCTGTGCCTTTGAGGTCTCTGATGTACAATAGGGCGGAGAGGGAGATGCGTCCTATGTTTTTTCCCGTGTAAGCCGTGTTTTACGGCCTCATGCGCCGACTCTGATAATCACTCTCGTATGCCTACCGCGCAGCCGTCCCGCGCCGCTTTGCGTTCGCCGCCTCGAGCACGCGGCTCGCGAGCAGCTCGCGCACGGCCTGGCTCCGCGCCTGGGCCGCCTCACCGGCGTCGGCGGCGGCGGGCGGGCGGGCGGCGCGGTGGCGAGGCTCGGTGAGCACGCGGTAGAAGATGACGAGCACCCACCTCTCCCCCCACGTGACCGGGTTGGACTGATGCCACACCTTTGAGTCGAGCAGGCAGACGTCGCCGCACCCGACGGGGTACTCGAAGAGCTCGGCGTCGCCCTCGCCGTCCCACACGGTGAGGCCGCCGCCGCCGAAGCCGCACTCCGACGGCAGGCCGAGCACCAGCGACCCGTCCACACCGGCGCCGTCGATGTGCCTCGGCAGGTGCGTCTCGTTGGCGTGCGGCCGGTAGCGCGTCACAAACGACTGCAGCCGCACCAGCGAGCGCGACGCCTTTGCGCGGAGGTACGGGTGGACCGAGTCGTACCAGCGCAGAAACACCGCGTCGCACGCGGCCAGCGTCGGCTCCGCCGCGCGCCGCATCAGCGCGCCGCGGCGGAGGTCGACCTTGCCGAGCGCGACGCCGCCCTCGTACTCCATGAAGCACGAGAGCTGCCAGTGGTCCTTGCCGTAGGCGGTGTTGGAGTAGTCCACCTGCTGCGGCGAAAAGGCGCCCGCGATGCCGCCAAAGGCGGCCTCCAGCGCGCGCGGGTCGAGCGCCGCCTCGATCGCCGAGTGGCGGAGCGGCAGCCAGCGGTGGCGCTCGAGCGCGGCGCGCGTCGCGGGCGGCACCTCGGAGCAGGAGCGGAGCCGCGCGAAGCGAGAGCGGCGGCGCAGGAGGAGGGAGAGGCAGGCGAGGCCGGCGAGGAGAGCGACGCACGCGGCGGCGGCTGGGAGGCGAGGCGCGGCGGCTTGCATTTTTAAGGCGCGCAAAAAAGAAATTTCCGTCCGCGTGTCGTGGCACAGATCGTCCCGGAGCTGCGGGCGTGAGCCGGGTGGTCGTTGCCCTCATCAGCGCCAGAGGGGGGTCGATCCCCCCCCCCCCCGCTAGGTCCTCGCTGTCCGTTTCGCTCAGACCGCCGCTCTCCGCGGCCTTCTGCCCTCCTGGGCGCCGCGCGGGCCCCCCGCCCCCCCCTGCGGCCGAGCCACCCTGGCCGTCGCTCTCGTCACCGCTTCCGTCCTCCCCATCGGGTGGCTCGACATCTGCCGCGTCGACCGGCCCGCCCTCGCCGGAGTCGACAGTCATCTCGTCGGGCTGGTCATCCTCCTCGCCCTCCAGCTCGTAGTCGGAGACTTCTAGAGATCAGACCTTTCGATGGTTCATGTGCTTTCTATGTCTATCTATCTACGTCATGTTTCATGAGGCACGACACGCGGTGGTGGAGCTGGTGGAGCTGTCAGCTGATCGATCCAAGCGGGTGGGGAGTGGGGGGCATGGCTGGGCATGCAGGTCCGCCAGTCGGCCCGGCCTCTGACGTGGTGCTGCCGCTGCATTCGCTGAAGAAGAGAGGTGCGACTTGATTGGAGGCACTAGAGGCGAGGCCCGAAGGGAGGTTGGGCCGGGCCGTGAGGGGCTGACGGCGCTGGCCAGCGCGGGGTGTGAGATGCCGTCGTCGTCGTATACTGCTGGCCCTCGCCCTCAGTTGCCAGGGCTGTCGTGGGCTGCAGAATTGGCGTCTGTGGCGTCTACGCAGGCTCTGCAGCGTGATGGCAGGCGGGACTGCGAGGCCGGCGGCAGCGGAAGGAGAGGCTGGGCACGAGCCAGGAACAGGCTGGCCAGGTCCGCAGGTGGCTGCGCTCGGGCGAGGCGCGCGCGCGCATGGCGGGCCCGAGCAGGCTCGGCTATATGGTGAACCCCCGATGTCGCGATGCGGTCCCGCTTTTCCGCGATCATTTCGTCCTTAAACGCACAAGAATTCTTTCCAGAAAAGAATCCGTTTTTCGGCAGGGATACGGGATCCCGTCATACTGCTGTGAATACGTCCCGAACCCATACTGTGACCTGCTTGCATTAAAATTTGTTGATCAGAGTAAAAAAAATCGTGAATTTACCTGCTAATGACTGTTGCTCCGCGTAAAGGGCGCCCAAACTCGGCGCGCTGTCCCCCTGGTGATTGCTGGCTGGTGCGTGTGATTTATGCTCGAGGATGTAACCACAACAAACTCTCTTTTATGTCCCACCATGCAGAGCGCATCTCTCTCTCTGTTGTGCGAGGCGTGAACCGCGCCATTCGCTCTCACCTGGCAACCCTGTCTGCACGTCTCGCGCGCGCGTGAACAGGGCTCCAGGTAAAATGGTGCACTAACCTCCGAGAAACCCTTCGGGTCGCTCCTCATCGCAAACGCTGTCAGCAGAGTCTCCTACGGGAATGTACGTAAGAGCTACATACACTGAAAAATAATCGAGAAGTCAAGACAAGAGTCCTAATCAGCTGGTTGGCCGCCATTCGGGCCGGCCTGCTGCGGCGGCGCGGCCGGTCGAGGCCGGGCTCGGCCCGGCCCGCGACGGCTGGCCGCCGACGAGCGCGCTCGCGCTGCTCGTCAAAATGGCGGCGGTGGCGATTGCGGCGACAAAAGTTCAGTCGTACAGCGCTCAGGCGTCTGTCATCTGTCGTCTGTTGTCGCATTTCGCACACGCGCGCGCCGCGCGACCCGCGTCGCTCCGCGAGGGCATGAGCCTTCCGCGATTCGATCCCGCAGCCAAAAGCTGCTCGCTCGAACCGCGGCCGACTCTACCATCGCGGCCGCAGCTGTTGAGCTCTCCAGAAAACTGGTGCCTCATATGCTGCCTCCCTGCGGATGCTGCCGGCGAGCCTGGCGGTCCGCTGTACTACAAGGAAGTGCTGACTCGATTTCTACTCGAATTCTTCTATTGCAATACCCCCACGACTCGGAACGCGAATGTGACAGGACCATCGGGTCCTTCAGCCACCAAAGCGGGATCACCCGAGAGCAGCTGAGCCTGCCTCTGGCCTCGCCTCCCTCTCCTTCAGGCATTCGTGGCATCCTATGGGTCGTCCAGAGTATCGACCTCTGGCGAGTCAGAGAGAGAGAGAGAGAGATTTTTAGAAGTCGAGTCAGCCAGTCACTTGAGGAGATTTTTAAAGACCAACAAGAAATCACGACTCTCACAGTGATTTGGGCTCGGCAGCTTGTTAGCCCTCAGCCGAATCTGGACCTGGCCCAAGCTGACAGAGGATCGCAGTTCTACTTGTCACGACCATACCGACGTAGTAGACGACAGTGCGGTCGGCAAAGCGGAGCGGAGGGCCGACGCAGGACTTCTCCCGCCAATCAGTCCTGCTGTAGCAATACGCTGCGAGGCCGCACGCGACGCAGAGGGAGAGGACGATGCCGGCGATGCGGCCCGCTGCCCCGCCGACCGAGAGGCACTTGTCGCACTTGACGCCGTTGACGAGGTAGTGATTCTCCGCGACGCAGAGCTGGCACTCGGGGCCTTTGAAGTCCGAAGCGCAGTACTCGTTCGAGCCCGCCTCCTCCAAACGGCGAGACGCCTGCTTGGCTCCGCGCTCGTTGCCGGCGCATCGCGCCTCGCCTGCCCTGTCGCCCCCGTCAAAGGCGCGGCACGCCGTCAGCACGGCGGAGGAGGAGCTGGCGCGCCAGTAGCCGGGCAGAACGACGAGGGTCTCGAGGGTGGTGCCGTCCGGG